TCCGTCATCGAGGCCATCTTCCGATACCGCTCTACCCAAGTCGAAACCACCAGCATCGAAGGTGCAATCCTCCGCTTCCACGCCGGTGAAAAAGAAGGCCAAACCAAGTAAGGAGCACAAGTCCGCAAAGAAGGGCTCCTCTAAGTCCCTTAAGGTGGCAAAGAAGGGGAAGGTAGTGGTGTCTGCACTGGGTGATGCCCCTAAAGTGCCTCCCGCTCCAACGGCAGTATTGATACCGGAGGCCCAAGCCCCTCCACCGACACCGACCATTCAATTATTGGACTCCCCTATACACCAATTGGAGCATCCTTACTCCGACATCGAGATGGTAGAGCTAAGTCATCAGATGGATGCACAGCCTTCTCCCTCTCCCTCCCGGTCGTCGACATTGACGGTATCGGAGGCTCCCGAAATTGATTCCCGTTGGGATCGACATACTTCTAACAGCACGCAGCGTCACCCTCCACGTCTGCATGTTCAATCTGTCGATATCGACGACCGGGATTACAGAGACTACTCTCAAAGGCAGGCTGCTGGCTTGTCTCTGAGACATCCACGGTCCAGAAGTCGATCCCCCCGAGTCTTTCTACCCCCCCACCACCACCTCTGTCTTGGGATCAACAACAGCTTAGGTATCTTTAGAGGGGTTATCCACCATCCATGCCATGGCTGACTCCGGCGGGATATTCCGACTGGGATCGTTATTCGTCCCACTCTGCCCACAGATCACGGTCGCCCCACAGGTCAAGACCTTCGGCATCTTTGTCGCGTCCTCCTGCCGATGACCCTTCCCACCACGATCCGGAACCTAGTCGTCCATCAAATCCCCCAGTCGTACCACCTAAACCTTTAACCAGTCAAACTGACGTCACTCCAGTCCAAATACCATCCCAAGATTCCTCTGACTCTGTGGAAGAGGATTCGGATACCAAAGCCTCCGAGGTTCATACCTCTCCTGACCATAAGTCTCCTGATCAGGCTGTCGCTGATGACCTACCCATATCCCCATCTGACAATCTCATGTCATATACAGATCTCGTCAAAAGAATGGCCCATTCTCTAGGCCTCTCAGTCGTCCAACGACACCCTCAAGTGTCTGATGCAGTTTTTGATATCGTACAGCTCGATACCTCTGCCACTTTGGCGTTATCGATGTCTACGGTCCTTCTATAAGCCGCTAAGGCACCATGGGAGAAGCCTTTGTCAGCCCCAGTGTCAACTAGACGCCTGGATCACATGTATAGAGTCCAGGAAACTTTTTATTCTCCCACCCTCAACCAAATTCTATGGTTGTAACCTCCTCCAAATCTAAAAGAACTCTGCACCTTCTGATAGGGAAAGTAAGAAATTGGATGCCTTTGGCAGATGCTTCTACTCTACAGGAGCGTTGGGAGTGAAAACCACAAATTACTTGGCCTGCATGAGCAGATATCAATACACTCTGTGGGAAAGGTTTTCTGAACTCCTAACTCACCTTCCTGAAGATAAATTACAGGCAGCCAGAGTTATTCAAAAGGAAGGCATGGTGTTGGAGGGCGGGTGGTGTGAATGCACAGATGACCCCCATATAAATATCAGATGGGGATGAAGCACCACATGCCTCACTGCTTACAAAAAAATATTGGCAGTACATTAATCTCTTTCCCTGGCATCTTGGCATGCTTCATTTTCCTGTCAGGTTTTACAACAAAAATGAATTCTATGTTGTTGCGGACGAGCAACTAGTCCTAATTCCACATGGGGCCTGACAGTACATTTCTTGGTTAAAATTTTAAGTCACACAAAAAGGAGGAGATGAGTAAGCCACAGTCTGCCCAAGCTTCCCGGCTGGGCAGGAATTTAAAACTCAGTGTCCAGGATCCTGCACCACATTAGTGCCCTTCTCCAGCATCAGGATGCAACAGAAAGTTGCAGCATACTCTCTCCTCTGTACTGTCTTGCTTAAGTTGCCATGAGCACATGCCCTTAGAACCTAAAAGCAAGTCCTGCTGGTGCCTGATACTGTTCCAGACAGTATCGGGTAGGGTCTGGCCTACCTAAGGGACCACCTTTCCCCACATGTACCCCAGAGAGCACTGCGTTCAGGGTCCCAAAACTGATTGGCCCTCCAGGGCCCTAAGGACTCCAGGCTGGCTATAACCAGGGCCTTCTTGATGGTGGCTCTGTACTGGTGGAATGAGCTCCCAGAAGAGATCAGGGCCCTGTGGGGACCTCTTACAGTTCCACTGAGCTCTTCCACCAAGCTTTCAACTAAGGAGCTGTATTAAACACCGAGGAGTGTACCTGTTTGGTGAGAGCCAGTTTGGTGTAGTGGTTAAGTGCTTGGACTCTAACCTGGGATTCCCCACTCCTCGCAGCTGCTGGATGACCTTGGGCAAGCCATAGTTGTGTCAGAGCTGTCCTCTCAAGGACAGTTCTGGAAAGAGCTCTCTCAGCTCCACCTACCTCACAGGGTGTCTGTTGTGGAGAGGGAAAGGAGTTTGTAAGCCGCTCTGAGACTGAGTGAAGAGTGGGGTATAAATCCAATCTTCTGTGCCCTACAGCCTGTGCCCGCTGCACAAATTGAGCTGGTGAGAATACCATCAGGATTGTATCGCCACCTAAGTAGCAGTGCAAACTTGAAACCTCCACTCTCGCACTTTATTAGACCATGTTCCAGCACTTTAGGTTTTTTTTTAAAATGAAGTGTCATTTTATGATTATGTTATTTGTAACTGTTAAGTGTATTTATATGAATCTTCTGTAAGCCCCCCTGAACCTGCCTTGGTGGGGACGGTGGGGTATAAATTGAAATAATAATAATAAAGAGGGAAGGCTAGAGGTCCATTCGCGACTATGAACTTACTAGCTCAAGTAACTGTTGCAGGATTTTCTTCTGCCCATAACGCACGTGCAGGGCAAACTGTTCCCGGCAGTTCAGTTTTGAAAAGGCCTGCTGGTCGCTGAGCACGTCTTCCTCTGCTTTCAAACCAGAGCTGTATGCCTGCAGCGTCAGCAGTGTGGCGTCAAAGAGCAGTTTCTTCCAAGATGCCTTGAGTGTTGGGATCATGGAGAGCGTCAAGTCAGTGTTCCCATTCTCACCCATTTCGTTGGCCCAGCCCTCTTCCTCTTTGAACTCCTTGAACTCCTCTGCAGGCATGCCCAGCACCTAAATCCAAAGGAGGCTGGAATGACTGGCGGTCCTTCAGTGCAAATGCACGCTCAGTGCCATTATCTCTGCCACTGAGGGACCTGATCAAGTAGGCTGTGTGGCTCGTGAAAAGGTATGCTACAGTTCATTTTTAGACTCCTGTTGTACACAGGGCCAACACGCGTATACATGCGTTCTCCTGATTTTACAGAGCTCAGTGCGCAGGTTGGGGGGGGGGGAACCACACCAGTAATGCAGGAGGGCTAGGTTGGGACTTAGCCTTGTGGGACTGCACTTGGGGGGCTTACAGGTGCAGAGAACACCTTTTTTTTCTTTTCAGTACTTTTCAGTCTCTTCTCCTCTCTAGTTAAAAGGTTCAGATAGTAGAACCAAGTGTCAGACCCCTGGTCAAGTTATCCTCAACAACACTCTCTTAGGCAGTGATATGTTCATTGAGTTATAAGATCCAGGTCATAACGGTACCGTGTCAGAACTGAGGATTTTGGCGGGTACAATCACAGATATAGATAATTCAAATGAAACCCCTCCTAAAGGCCACATCCATCCCGCCTAGCCACAGCGTGCCTACCCCCCTTTCACCTGGGAAATATACGATCCCATTATCTACACAAGCAAGCTGGCACCAAAAGTTTCAAGGATGTTCCTCTCTAGGAAGGCTTCTTTGGAAGAGTTACGGCCTCTAAGATAGCACAGTCACACACTCCACACTCGCCCCTCCCACACACCTAAGGAATTCCCTCCCCCTGCATTCATGGCAAACTGAACAGAGCAATGTTTGACACCAAGCTGTCTTAACACACACACACACCATTTTAAGTGAGAGCACAGGATATGGGAAGTGAATGAATTTTATTGTTACAGCGCATAGCCAGCAATTATAAAAAACCATAGAAGTAACTTACGATAACCAAATGGTAAAACTACCTTAAAAACTACAGGGTTACTAAGGAACAACATTATGTAGTCATTTTGATCACTAAAACCAGACTTAGGAATACGCTGCAATGGAACACATTTAAAAAGAGTAAAATAGAATGACAAAAAAGGCAATAAGGTTTAAAATCAAACAGTCCTATCCCAAGTGACAACCAGAACACTGAGAGCTTTTACGACCAAGGAGCAAAATTTTGCAATGTCTGGATTTCAATGTCTCAAATAGGTATGGGAAGTGGGTTTTTTGCCCTGAATTTCTATTTGGCTTGAGCTGGAGGGGTTGTGATTCAGGGTAACCACCTGCTTTGCACACAGAAGGACCCAGGTTCGTTCCAGAAGGAAGAATTGGGTAGAAGATAATGTGAAACACCTCTTCGTAAGACTCAGATGACATTGACCCTAGCCTCATTAGTCCCCAGAGATAATCCCTCTTCCTCCCCATCCCCTCATATTTCTCTCAAAGACTTGTGTTTTAGCTGGGGTAAATGTCCTCAGCTGTGGTGGTGGTGGTGGGAGTGTTTTTCAAGTCACAGCTGACTTGGGGTGAACAGGTAGGGTTTTCAGGGCAAAAGATGACCAGAGGTGGCCTGCCTCTGCATAGCAACCCTGGGCTTCTTTGGTGGTTTCCCATTCGAGTACTAATCCGGGGCCAATCCTATTTAGCTTCTGAGATCCAATGAGATCAGGCTAGTGTGGGCCATCCATTTCAGGGCATCCTGAACTGCAGATCTTTCTGAATAGTATGTGGGGGGCAACCACTTGAAGAAGTCTGAAATTTCTATAAGTCTGGAGAATGGGAGATATCGCCAATCTAGGCTGTGCCTCTCCATGCAAACAAAAAGGAGCCTGGCAGCACAATGTTCCATTCCTTTGACAATTAAACTCTGTCCACTGCCTCAGGTCAGTCTGCCAGCAGGCAACAAGAGTATCAAATGCTACCCTTCAAGCTAAGTACTCTGCCACCAGACAAAGCAGTCTACCAGAGCACTCACCTTCAATGCTGTAAACAACTCCTCTTCAGTCAAGACCTTCTCCCAGCCTATCACAAAGGCTCCTTCCTCACCCACCATCTCCATCTTACAAAGAAGATCCCACTGCTCCAAGACCAGCTGCCGTTCTACATCTGTTTTTGCAGCTAGGTGGAGGAAGCAGAGGCAAAAGAAACAGTGTAGTTCAAACAGGCAAGCCAGGCTAGACTGAGCATATACCATTATTGCATCTCTTAGCCTGCAATGAAAAGCAAATTGCTTCCCCGTGTTTTCTTCCCATATGCTTTGAAACGACATTGAGGGGCCAACCTTTCCCTTTACAAAGGGAAGCATAAACAAAAAGACACACGGGCTCATGTGGCCTAGAAGACTGAATGCCAGGCTCTGCTCCTCCAGCCTCACAGCAGAGTTGTCTCACAGATCTGCCAATTTCTGACAGGTGAGGCAGGCGGCACAGAATGCAGCACAAACCGCACTCCAATGCCTGCATTCATTGATGGAATTGATGGGCAGAGCTAGAGAAAGCCACAAGAGAGAGAGGGAGAGATGTGGACCTCCTTTTAAAAATCCTCCCCCCCAATTGTCAAATAATGGATCTTCTGATCAGTCAGTCACTTGCCTTGCAGAGCGGCTTTGCACAGCGTCAACATCTGGATGTCAGCCGCATCATCCCTATTGCCAGGATATGGTTGAGCAAAGCCATACATGTGGAGGAGCTGCCAATTGGCCATCTGTCCATAAGTGTTGAAGACCTCTTGGCCTTTGTGGATGGGCTGAATCGCCACCATTTTCAAACACTCCTGCAGAGGGAATAGACGCAGAGGTCACCAGTGGTAACCTGCTCCCGTGGGAATGCCTTGGCAGGCCACTTGTTGTGGACGTGGGAGTCTTCGAAAACTTCACAAGATAAAGCTTTGTACGTGTGCGTGTGAAGTGCCATCAAGCCACTTCCGACTTATGGCAACTCTTCGAATTACTGACCTCCAAAACGTCCTATCATGAACAGCCATTCTCAGATCTTGCAAACCGAGGGCTGTGGCTTTCTTTATTCTCATGTTGGGTCTTCCTTTTTTCCTGCTTCCTTTGACTTTTCCTAGCATTATTGTCTTTTCCAGTGAAGCTTCTTACTCCTTGATTTTTTTAAAAAAGGCTCCTTGGCCATTGTGGGAAAGTCAGAAAGAGCTTACTGCTGAATGTTTTTTAATACCAGGCTGGACTAGCACACATCAACTGAAAGAAAAAAGGTCAGCCACCCAAGAGGTCGTTTTCAAAAATCATCCCAGAGTTGGCCTCTGAGACCCTGAGACTGATCAGGGGAGACAGTAGTGAACTAGGTGGGGTCATAGTCTTGACTCCGTATAAATTTAGCTCTCAGCCTTAAGCTGGAGCCCTGTTTGTGCCTGGGTGAAGGAGGGGAGCAGGATGACCCTGGGCCACTGCATCCAACAGTGGGTCTCAGCCAGGTGGCTCTTGGGCAGCTTCCTGTACGCACACACACCCCAAGCAGACCTGACGACTACAGGCTCAGATTTGGTCCGCAGTTCATGTTTAAAAGGAAGGGGCTGCAGGTGGGCTAAGCTAGGTAGGGTCTTGACTCCATATAAGACAACTTCCTACACACGGGACAGTCAGAGGAACAGCACTCTGCTCAGTCCAAGCAGCACCTGCTTCCCCACCCTGTCATCTCAAAGTTCGCTCCATATGACTCTCTGCTAAGCAGCAAGTTTTCAGGCATCTCACTGACCCTAGTTGGGGGAGGGGGGTGTCCCCAATTGACAGAAGCCTGTCCTACAGCTGCTGAGGTGCAAGTGGGATGCACTATGCTGGGAGCATCAGCTTGAACCGAGAACCTGGACAGGAAGAGTGAGTCTGGAGCTCAAGCAAGAGATGGCTAAAGGCTGAACGTTGTCCACCAGAATTTTCTGAGGTTCCTTAGCAGTGTTCCCTCTAAGCTGAGTTAGTGTGAGCTGGCTCACTGTTTTTTAGCCTCTGGCTCACACATTTTTGTCTTCGCTCAGGCAAATTTATGCAGTAACCAAATCGTTCACTCACAACTTTAATGCAGTAGCTCACAAAGTAGAATTTTTGCTCACAAGACTCCACAGCTTAGAGGGAGCATTGTTCCTTAGCCAAGCTTTCAAAAGATAATCTCACAGCAAAATGGAATGCTACCTATGCTATCTGCAGAACAGAAACCACCAATTAAAATTTAAAAAAACTGGGCTCAAATGTTGGCTCCAGCCTGGACAGAGGCTTCTGTTTCCCCAGTGGCTTAACCAACAAGGGCCTCCCGGAGGTTCAAAGTACAATCTGTCTTCCAAGTTCAGGCAGAAACTGTGGTCCAAACTGCACGTCACGACTACCACATGACTGCCAAAAAGACCTGCAGCAGGATGCCAGCTGTCAATTCCCTTTGGGAACTCGTTTCAGAAGCACTGCAGGGACAAACGAAAGATCAGATCTGTGGCGTGCTCCTGCCTCTCCCATTTGGCATCATTTCCCCAGTCAAGGCAAATAATGCCCCGAGGTGTTAAGGGTTGGGAAAAGGGTGTGCAGGAGTGTCCCTCTTCCCCCTGTGCTGCAGCCTCAAGTCAAAATGGACCCCTGCGTCACTTCTGACACCAGTTCCCACATGGAACTCACAGGTGGCGCCCTTCTGCAAGCCCCCGTGGTGTTCATGTTGTAGAGATCATTCCAGCGGCCAGCCTGCCATCAGCAACCACAAGGAGGCTCCCAGTCAGCCAAAGGGCAGGAGGAAGAAAAACGACAAGAGGTCCAGACCAGATGTAGGCACACACTTGTGCCTCCATCAGGATACCCCACACACACTCTGAGAAGTCTCACTGCAGAGTGAGCCCTGAAAAGCTGAAGGATGTGGAAGCGTATGTAACAGGGCCCAACTGGATTTACGAACTCTAGGCTCTGCTCACCGGGGAATACTCCAAGTTGGCATTGTGACTGGCCACATGATTCAAAAGGTCTGCCATGGGCACCATCATGGGAGGGTTGGGCTCCTCCTCGTCCTCCTCGTCCTCCTCCAAAGGCTCCTGGAAACTGGTTGGAGAATAAAATGAGCAGATGCCAGAACAAGGCAACATGGAACAGAACAAAGCCACAGGGATGGCAGCAAGCAGGAAAGAGATGCCAGTGGCTCAAGAACCTGCACAGCTGAGAATGGCAAAAATACAGGAACCAGCACCAGATGAGAACTGCAAGGAAACTCAGGGACTCTTGAGCTTTTATGTTTGGGTAATGATTCTTGGTCCTGACCGGGATATCCTAGGGTAGCTCAATCTTGTCAGATCTCAGAAGCTAAGCAGGGCCAACTGTGGTTAGTACTTGGATGGGAGATCACTGAGGAAGTCCAGGGGCTATAGGCAGAGGCAGGCAATGGCAGACCACCTCTGAACACCTCTTGCCTTGAAAACCCCAGGAGGGTCACCATAGGTCAGCTGCAACTTGACAGCATTCTCCATCACCAATGATTATGGGATGAGGTGCTAGGAAACTGGAAGGCGGTAGAAACTGGAAGAAATTGGAAGGGGGCGTAATCGGAAATTTCACCTTCCAAGATTCTGCAAGTTATCAGAAGCTTCAGGAAGCTAACTAACTTAACTAGTCTTAACTAGTCTTCAGCTACCAACACTCTGTTCCTCCTCAGCATAATTAGTTCTCATCAGACCAATATGATTGTCCCCCATCTTCTGGTTAATTCATACTTCTCTAAGGAGTCTCCCTCCCCCTGGCTGTGGATGGCCAGTGAGGCCAAGTGACACAAAACACTAAATTTACAGTTGTTTAAAAACGTATACCCCACCTCTCAGCCAAAGGCTTCCAAAGCAGTTTCCACAGAAAATCAACATTTAAAACAATCCAAGAGTAGTCACAATTGCCCAAACTCCCAAGAACGTACGCTTGGTGTGTGCTAACAACTTCTTTATTCAATGAGTGATTAAAACGTGGAATTCACTGCCAGAGGATGTAGTGATGGCCACAGACACAGACAGCTTTAAAAGGGTTTAGACAGATTCATGGCGTAGAGGTTCATCAATGGCTACTAGCCATGGTGACTGAAAGGAGCCTCATCTACAGAGGCAATAAACCTCTAATACCAGTGCCAGGAGGCAACATTAGGGCAGGTCTCGGCCTCTATGCTTCATTGTTGGACCCCCAAAGTAACAGGCTGGCCAGTAAGTGAGACAGAATACTGGACTTGCCGGACCACCAGTCTGGTCCAGCAAGGCTCTTCTTCTTACGTTCTAGAGATTGCCCTGGGGTAGGACATCTTTATTTACTACGCTTTACAGTTTGCCCCTCTGCTTCTAATCCATCTTTGAATTGATCTGCATAGCCTGAAATATTTCTGCCTCAGTCCACTTGAGTTACACATTCAGTTCAAAGGAAACGCTTTCCCTTAAAGACTCTTTCATCTGTTCAGGCCAGAGAATTAGATGGGGAACAGAAGAGTGATACAGCGGCAGTGACAGTTCTCCTCTCCAACAATCCCTTGCACTCATTCCTACTCAAGACCTAGAGGGATCCCTGTACATACTCAGCTCCCTGGGGAGGGCAAGTTATGCTAAAATTGCAAAATGGGTCTCCCTAATTCCACATATGGGGACTTCTCATCCCTCTGCGCATCCTACAGCACTTGTGGAGGGGAGAGGCTGCTATTGCAGTGAGAATACTGACACCCCCTCAACTACTTCCCCCCCCCCCAAGTCAGCCTATTCACTTTGAGGACCTTCGGATAAAGAAGGGGGATATAAACTTCAGGAATACATGAAAGCCAATTGAGAGACGATAGAACGGTGCTGGGGCATCACTTCAGTCCTCCGCAGACCATCTGCTGTTGCCTTCCCACTTACCTGTAGGCCATGACAAATGCCACCAGCTTCTTGTACAGCTCCAGTGTGTGCACCTTGGGGTTGAAGAGATCTGGGTGGGCCTTCAAGAAGGGCAGGATGATAGAGGAATACTCCATCTGGATATTGGCCAGGTCTTTGTCCACAGCTTCTAAGATCCCCGTACCCTGCAGAAGCCTCCACCGTTCTTCCTCGCTCCTGTACAAAACAGCAAGCAGAAAGTGCCATTTCCTTTTCACAATCAATAAATAGCCCGCACTGGTATTAATGTAGCACTGGCCACAAAGACAGTTACTCTCCCAATTGCCTTCTTAGTATCCTCTCAGTTTGGTGTAGTGGTTAAGAGCGCAGACTCTAATCTGGGAGAACCGGGTTTGATTCCCCACTTCTCCACATGCAGCTGCTGGTGTGACCTTGGGTCAGTCATAAGTTCTTTCAGAGCTGTTCTCTCAAGGGCTCTCTCTTGAGAGAACTCTTTCAGCCCCACCTACCTCACAGGGCATCCGTTATGGGGAGGGGAAAGGGATTGTAAACCGCTCTGAGACTCCTTTGGGTAGTGAAGGATGGGGTATAAATCCAACCTCCTCCTCTTCAAGCCAATCTGGTTTTCCTTGTCCCAGAGAATACATATGGTTTCTGTGTACACTCCCTTCACAAGTATTACTGTTTTTCCCACCACTCTCCTCCTGTAACTTTTCCTTGTAAAAATAAGCCTGCTTAGTTTTCACTGTCACGAGACACCTCCATAGACACTACATCTGAGAATATTTATTTTACTACATACTGCAAGAATGCACAAAATGTGAAGTGCTGACACAAATGATGTGAGTGCCTTACCTGCTAGATATGCTGAGTTTATATTTTATTAAATTGTTTAAAAATGGTTAATTATTTAATTGTTGGTATAAACTTTATTATACATTGTTAACTTTCTGTACAAGACCTCATAGCTTGTTTGTTTTTCCATTTGTAATACTTTTGATAACATTAATAAAATATAAAGTTTTTTAAAAAAGAATAGTTTCAGGTGACAGCCATGTTGGCCAGCAGTAGAACAGTCATGGAGGTCTCTTAGTCTTTGTATCCCCATCAGAAGGTGGTAGAAGTGTTGTAAAGAAGGAACTCAGGATGCAAAGGTACAATGCATATTGTAATCAGGTTGATTAGATCAGAGGGGAAATGTTTGGGGGGCAGAAACTTATGTCTCTGCAGTCCTCAAAGAAACTTCAAGAGGAGAGTACAACATGAGATTGATAAACCTGACTTAATTCACAAACACAGGGCTAATTTGGGACACACACAAATTCAGGGCTGACACAGGATTCGTATCTCACTACAGATGAGTGAGATAAGAATCCCTACTCATATCCAATGAAGGGAGTTTTGCCTCTTGAAAGTTTATACCCTGAAAATCTTGTTAGTCTCTAAGGTGCTACTGGACTCGAATGTAACCACACAAGAATAAGATAATTTAAAAGGGATAAGAAACAAACTTGCCTCTCAAAACACCTAGGACTTTCTCAAAACAAACTAAGGGGGACATGGAGGGGTGCTCAGCACAGAAACACCCAATCATGTCTATCCCACAGCACCCCATCCTGTGCTATAAAGCTAGTGTTATAAAGCATGGTTTTCAAGCACTGCTATACAGCCAACAGGTCTAGATGAGTCTTTTCCTAGAGGTGCCCGCTTCTGCCCTAGACAGAGTCTGCATTCTTTGCCACCCAGAGCTGGACATTGATAGAACAGAACCATTACACCATAGCCTCTTACCAGAACATAGGATGATCTAGGCCACTGAAGTTAGGCCACAGGGAAAAGTAAGTCCCCCAGTGAGAGTTACTGATTGTGGATTCATGGAGAAGAGAAATCAGGAGGGGGACCCAGCCAGACTGACTCTGCAAGGAGTCTTGTTCTGTTGAAGACAGAGAAGAGAGAGCAAAGGAATACCAGAAGCCTTTTCTTTTTCAGGGAACAATACACCACCTGAGATTAGCTGAGCAACTGCATCTTTTCCAACCTTATTCTAGTAGCAGAACAGGAAGCATGTAACTTTTTCAGGAGCTGGGGAATTTGCAGGGCCCTCTGCTAATTTGTAAGCAATAAAGTGCTTACAAAGGGACCTGCAGCTACTCTGCAACCAAACGGGGCATAATGGGACATGACAATGCACAACTGCCCCAGATTTTAAGCCCGGGTTTCCTCACCAACTCTACTGGTTCCCTGTGTCCCATATGTTTCTGGTACCTTTCTCCAGAAGGGAAGACAAGGAACTTGTGTGTTGTGAAAGGAGTGCAGTTCTTGGGACAGTGAAAAGGACTTCTCCAGTTGGAAGGTCCTCTCTGGCTATCAGGCCATAGTCAGCCACTGTGCCTTCTCTGCTCACACAGACCTGTAAGAGAAGCAAAAGACTCACTGGCTTCCCATATCCAGAGGGCTAGTTCAGCTATTCCCTGATAAGTACAAATGTCAAGAAACATCATTTAACACAGATTTTTGTTGTTCAGTTGAAGTCAAGTCCGACTCTTTGTAACCCCATGGACCACGTCATGCCAGGCCCTCCTGTCTTTCGGCGTGCTCTGGAGTTTGCTTAATTTCATGTTTGTTGCCTCGATAACACTGTCTAACCATCTCACCCTTTGCCGCCCCCTTCTTCTTTGACCTTCAATCTTTTCCAGCATCAGGGTCGTGTCCAGTGAGTGCTCCCTTCTCATTTGGTGGCCAAAGTATTTGAGCTTCAGCTTCAGTATCTGGCCTTCCAGGGAACAGTGAGGGTTGATTTCCTTTAGGAATGACTGATCTGATCTCCTGGCAGTCCAAGGGACTCTCAAGAGTCTTCTCCAGCACCAGCACAGATTAGTTAACTATTAACAGGCTACCCAATTCACAAGCCAGGAGGATAAAGAGTGGAACAACTGTTTTCACCCACAGAGATTTTAATCCATGTTACTAGTTGTACAAGTGGAAGCAGGAAAGGTAATAATGCCCCTTTAATCCAGAATGAAATTATGCAGTCTTGTGAATTTATTTTATTTTTACTTCATTTGTACCCTGCTTTGGTCCCCAAGGCAGACTCAAGGTGGCTTACTTATAGGCACTTTATAATAGCAAATACCACCACTCTCTTGGCAAACTATGATTTAATAAGACTTCTTCTTCTTCTTTTTTTGAGCCCCCGGAGGGGATTTTTTATTCTATGGAAGAGCAGGACATAAATATTTTAAAATAAACCCCCTCAACCATTCCGATACTTTCAACTATGGGAGTACATAAATATAGAAGTTTAATAATGTTATCTGAAAAGCACACTATCAGATTTTGAGAAATCTGGGTTTTAATGCTTAGGGATAAGTCTTCAGTAAAAAAAAACATTGAACATTTCTTTTTTTTCTGTGTAATCTTTTTGGATCAGAGAAAAAAAATTATGTATCCTCATCTGAGTAAGAAGCCTGTTTCCTCTTCTAACTACTCTGTTGGCGGACCTGGACTTTGGTATAACATTAGATAGAGGTGTGTGAATATATAGTCACTGCCTCCTTTGTTTTTAATTAATACTGAACAGCAATATCCTTTTTGTTATACTGCTTTCTCTGGTGGAACAGCCTTTTGGCTTTAAGTCCTAGATAGGAAATGGTTAGGGATCGAAAGGTTTACTGTTAAACAGCATGGGACTGGGCTGTGAAACCCTTCCTGGAAAAGCCCACCCTGCTGCATCTGAACAATCACTTGGCTGCAGATATCCCCTTTTTAGGCAAGGTAGAACTGTCCGAGACTGTGCTGGATGAGATGGATTATCTGACCTCAGTCACACAGAGAAGCACAACCGTATTAATTCTCCTGGGTCTTAGTGACTTTTCACATACTTTCTGTCACAGTGACCTTTATCCTAACACTCCGCTAAGCCTAGTTTGAAGCCTCCATCCCTCCTAAAGTAAGATACCTTCCAGTAACTTTCTGGAACTGCTGGCTTGGATGGAACTTCGTAGCTCTTCCTCCCTCCATTTTACCTGCACAACAGCCCTGTGAGGTAGGCAAAGCTGAGAACTACTAGCCTAAAGGCACCACGCAAGATTCGTGCTTTCCTCCCGCCCCCATCCCACCCACACAACACCCCTGGGAGGTAGGGAAGGCTGAGCACACACAGGGCGGACCCAAGGTTCTTCCTCCTTTTTATTTGCACAACAGCTCTGTGAGGTGAGGATCTGAACTGGTCTCCCGGTCCTGGTCCCAACGTGGCCCTCTGAGGAGACTGGAAAGCGGGGGGAAGGCCGAAGCCATCGCCGCCTGGCTCCCTCCCGAGGGCCGCGACCCAGAGGAGCAGGCCTGCTTTGTGAGGAGCAGGCCTGCCTCTTGGCGCGGCTCTCTGCCGCTTCGGAAGCCGCCCGGCGGGCCGAAAGGAACCGCAGCATCAACCGCTGCCTCGGTCGCCCGGCCGGCGAGGAACTTGTCGGAGGGGGCGGTCCTTTAGGAGGGCGGGCGTGGGGAGAAAGCAAGGCCGCGCGGCCTACCTTGGGGCTCAGCACTAGGCCGACACCGTCGCACCACTCGAGGAAGGCCGCCAAGGCGCCGGTACTGGAGTCTCGGCGGACCCGCTTGGCCGAGCTCGCCATGCCGCGGATCCTTCGCTGACCACCTTCCGCCCCACCCCCACCGGCCGCTTGTTTAGAAGTGCGCATGCGCCACTGGCGAAGCGCTTCGCGCGGCTGCGAGTTCCGCAGACGCCTGAGGAGGGGTTCCCGCACGGAAGTCGAGGCAGCGAAGAAAGTCTAGCTGTCATATACCTTCTGGAGGGGAATGCTGGGGCCGTCTTGGGCCATCAGCAAAAGGGCTCCAGAGTCGCAAGCAAGAAAAGCGTTAAGGAGAGGAGGAAAGGGCAGAAAGCGGCCCGTTGTGGAATCCCGCAGCAGTTTTGGTCAAATGGCACGTTCGATTAAAAGGACGGGCAGGGAGGGAGCGAAAAGGTGTGTGAGATACTGGTATCCCCTGTGTGTAGATACAGCATGAGGCTGGCTGTTTGTTTATTCCATTGAAATAGCAAGAAGGTGGGCCGCTCTCTCCATCCCAAGTCTGCTGCTGACTCGCTGACTTGTAATTCCGCTTCAGGCTGCAACTTCAGCAGAGTGAACATGCTAGGGTTAGTTAGACCCTAAGGTGGCAATCCTAGGTGTGCAAGAATAATCACAACTCTCATGACACCTGAAAAGCTAACCAGAATGGATTCCCCACAAAAAGACGAATCCACTTGTCGCAACTGTCTGGATGGGCCCTGAATGTGGCTTCTGAAGAAATCCAATCCAGGTAGCCGTTCAGGTGCCACGGGACTTGGGTGTCTTTTTCCTGTGCCAGTCTCATGTGGCATCTCCCCCCTATGTATTTGCAGTACCATCCCATGATGAAGAACTTAAATCCACACTGTCAGCCCAAATGTGGTGACATTCCTGGCTCTCTGAAAGGGGGGGGGCAGGAGTTCTCACTCTTCCAAAATCAGTGCAATGGTTCCCAAAAACACCTGGGGGGGGCAATTTCACCCTGATAAGCACTTTTGTTTTTCCTATTCCCCCCTGCCTTTCTCCCTCTTTTGCAAATCAAGAGCATCAGCTTCTCCCCTGAAGTCCTCACACTCTGACTCCAAAGGCAACAAGGCCTTCTGAGTTCCTTTTGGCTTATGGGCCTTAATGGTGTAAACATTTATGTCATTTATACCCTCGTTTTCTCTCTGATGGGGAACCAAAGTGGCTTACAACATTCTGTCATACTCCATTTTATCTTCACAATAGCCCCATGAGGTAGGAGAACAAATGGAGGCAGAAAACATGGGCTGAGGGTTGAGGCGGACAGAAACAATGTAGTTAAAGCAGGGGTATCCAGTGTTCTGCTTGGGGTCCACTTTTCATTTGCCCACACACACACACACACTTCCCTTGCCCAGAGCCCGGATGGCAGGAGGTTCTTGCCAACTCCACACAACTCTTCATCCAACTTCTGGGAGAGCAGTTTGCACTCCAACAGGCTCCCTTTGCCTCTTGAAGAATATGCAGAGGAAGTCATCCTAACAATTCTGCAGCACATCAAACAGGGATTAGACAAGGAAACAAAGATCACCACACCCCCAATTGCGATAGAGTTAAAAAATATTGGTCTTGGATCCATGAAATGTTACAAAAAAATGTTAGAATGTACCATACCTTTTACACCTGAACTATTTTTATTGAATATAAGACCCGAAAGCTGTAATAAACAAGACTTTTGTCTTATTATACATGTACTTACTACTGCAAGAATTTTTTGTTGTTCAGTCGCACAGTCGAGTCCGACTCTTCGCGACCCCATGGACCAGATCACGCCAGGCCTTCCTGTCTTCCGCCGTCCTCTGAAGTTGGCTCAATTTCAGGTTCGTTGCATCTATGACACTGTCTAACCATCTCATCCTTTGCCGTCCCCGTCTTCTTTGACCTTCAATCTTTCCCAGCATCAGGGTCTTCTCCAGTGAGTGCTCCCTTCTCATTGGGTGGCCAAAGTATTTGCGCTTCAGTTTCATTATCTGGCCTTCCAGGGAACAGTCAGGGTTGATTTTTTTTAGGATTGACTGATTTGATCTTCTTGCAGTCCAAGGGACTCTCAAGAGCCTTCTCCAGCACCATAGTTCAAAAGAATCTATTCTTCGGCGCTCGGCCTTCCTTATAGTCCAACTCTCGCAGCCATACATGACTACTGGGAATACCATTGCTTTGACCATGCAGACTTTTGTTGGCAGGGTGATGTCTCTACTTTTTATCATGCTGTTGAGGTTCGCCATCGCCTTCCTCCCAAGGAGCAGGCGTCTTTTAATTTCATGGCTGCTGTCACAGTCTGCGGTGATCTGGGATCCCAGGAACATGAAGTCTGTCACTACTTCCACGACTTCCCCTTCTATTTGCCAAGGAGTGATGGGGCCGGATGCCATGATCTTAGTTTTTTTGATGTTGAGCTTCAAGCCCACTTTTGCGCTCTCCTCTTTTACCCTGAGCAAGAGGCTCTTTAGGTCCTCTTCACTTTCTGCCATTAGAGTGGTATCGTCTGCATATCTGAGGTTGTTGATCTTTTCCCCAGCAATCTTAATTCCCGCTTGTGATTCATCCAGGCCAGCATTTCGCATGATGTACTCTGCATATATATTAAATAAGCAAGGCGACAATATACATCCTTGTCGTACTCCTTTTCCTATGCTAAACCAATCAGTTGTTCCATATCCGGTTCTAACTGTCGCTTCTTGGCCCTTATACAGGTTTCTCAAGAGACATGTGAGGTGGTCTGGTACTCCCATCTCTTTAAGGCCCTGCCATAGTTTGTTGTGATCCACACAGTCAAAGGCTTTAGCATAGTCAATGAAGCAGAAGTAGATGTTTTTCTGGTACTCTCTTGCTTTCTCCATAATCCAGCGAATTATGTTCCTCTACCTCTTCGAAATCTAGTTCCTCTACCTCTTCGAAACCCAGCTTGTACTTCTGGCAGTTCTCTATCCACATACTGTTGAAGCCTAGCTTGTAGGATCTTGAGCATGACTGCAAGAATACTATATGCTAAATACTGGAGGAAAGATAAAATACCCTCCAAAGAAGAACTGTTAAGCAAAACTTTCGAAACTGCTGAGATGGATAAACTGACTTTTATTTTGAGAGGACAAGAAGAAAGGAGATTCCAGAGTACATGGTCAAGATTTTATAAATGGTTTGAAAAATACTATAAATGAATAATTTAGACTTATAATTTTATTGGGAGATACTTTAGATCAAATTTTAAATATAATGCAGAATATCTTTTTTTTTTGTTTATTTATAAAATTTAAAATTTAAAAAAACAGTCAGTAGCTATAAGTCGAAACAGCAGCAAAAAATAAAATCGGGAAGGGGGACACATTCACGATATCTGGGGAGTTTCCTCAATACAAGTAATGAACTTGTGGATGAGCAGGAGCGTTCAGCCTTGAAGCAAATGATAATGCAGAATATCTACCGAAAAATATATGGTGATAAAAACTGATTATTTAATAGCTATACAATGTAGCAGGTAATGTAATAGATATAATGAGAAGATACTTGTAACCCCCAAATTTATGTTTTTGTGTCTGTTTATATGTTTTGTGTGTGTGTGTTTGTGTCTGATTTATATTGAAAATAAAATATTTAAACCCCGCAAAATTCGGATGGTCAATATGCTTTTAGGTACTTTCAGCCCCCCTGAGCACCACTCTGAAATTGCAGCATTCCAACAGTCAAGAAACATGGGTTTTGGAAAAGTCTCTTAGAAAAAATTCCAGTGACAAAAGAGATCTTCAAAGCCCTCTTTGCACCATTGGTGAGTCTGAGGAGCACTTGCTGGCTTATCCCATGCTAGCTTTCCAGCTGAATTTCAGCTAGATTTCTTCGATTTCAACAAAGTCAGATAACTTCCTGATGTGTCATCTGTCATCTGAAAGGACTACTGTACATCAGCTGTCCAGACCATACTGATTCCAAAGACCAAGGGATGTCAAATGGTATCAAAGATTAGGGGAATATTCAGCCCAAATTTCAAAAATGGTACAATCAGTTTGGCTTGGCCGGGGGGGGGGGGGGGGGGCTGGCTGTTCTTATGTACTGCCTTTGAATGATGCCTGCTTCTTTTATTGATGTGTTGTTTTTTTCCTGGCAGGTTTGTTTTCCATTTCTTTTTGTTTTCATAACTTGATCCTGAGGTTTACTCATGCATCTTTGCCGTACTCAGCACCCCTGTGGAATCTGGGGTCCTTAGAATCATAGGATCACAGAGTTGGAAGGGGCCATACAGGCCATCTGGTCCAACCCCTGCTCAATGCAGGATCAGCCTCGAGCATCCCTGACAAGTGTTTGTCCAACCACTGCTTAAAGACTGTCAGTGAGGGGGAGCTCACCACCTCCGTAGGCAGCTGATTCTACTGTTTAACAATTCTTAGTGTAAATGTTTTTCCTAATACCTTCCCAACCTTCATTTAAACCCATTCTTGCAAGTCCTATCCACTGCTGGCAACAGGAACAGCTCCCTGCTCTCCTCCAAGTGACAGCCCTTCAAATACTTAAAGAGAGCAATCATGTCCCCCCTCAACCTTCACTTCTCCACACTAAACATTGCCAAGTCCCTCAGCCTTTCCTCGTAAGGCTCAGTCTCCAGACCCCCGATCATCCTCGTGGCTCTCTTCTGCACCTGCTCCATTCTGTCCACATCCTTTTCGAAGTGAGTCCCTTCAGGGACTCCTTTCTCACAAGAGTTTTTGGGTCACCTTCCCAAATAGATTGGCTTCAGTGACCCACCCCCACCATGTTTATGTTCCAAAATGTGTGTTGCCTCAGTGATTCTCATTCCTCAGTTTGAAATGCCCAAAGCAGGGAAGCTCCCCTCAGCCATTCAGCTTCCGTACTATTATAGTTCTTTATACCTTTTGACAACTTCTACATTGAGTGCGATCTTTAACATCTTTAAAACTACTTTTAATAATTTTTCTTTGGACTATAGGCTGACCCAGGCAGCTTCCCCTTGCAATCAGTGGGATGCTGCCACGAGAGTTGAAGAGTAAAAGGGTGAAGTGATACTCTCTGGAGTACTCACCATTCCCTTCTTGTTCTTGCAGAGCCCAAAAAAACTG